TCACCATTACTTCAAATGTGATAGGACTTCATGTCCTCATAGCTCCTGTCCACACGAGAACATAAATTTTGCTGCCTTCAGTGTCACATTTTTAAGAATTGAATATACGCATGAGGAAACAAATAAAAATAAAAATATAAATTTGATATAGTCTCAAAATGTTTTCTCCATATTTGGACTGAATGATGCCACCACAGAGCTACTGTAAAGTGTAGCTGTTAATTTAATTACATGCAGCAAAATGACTTTCCAGCAGTCTGGATCATTCCATTAATGTTACCTCGCCGTGAGGAGCCGCGGAGTCTGGTTCTCAGCCATTAACACCAGCTGTCTGCACTGCTCTATTAGCAGTCATTGTAACAGTCACAACAAAATATGTGCCAGATGAAGCATCTTTAATCCAGTCTACAGTAAATCACACTGCTTTACCATCTCTTTCACTTTTCACTACCATCATGTGGTTTATTGTTTGTTTATATTCTCCTGAGAACCAGCCCATTCATTTATGTCCTCTGTAATAAACATTTGTTTTTGGTTTATATCTTTTGACTTATTTGAGCTATCCTAATAAGTCCTGATGGACTAAATAGAGGACATCCTGGTCTTTCCATTGATATCTCATGTGTTTGGGTGGCCTCTTTTAGCTCCACAGAGAAAGGAAATCGCAAATAACATTCAATGGGAAGATTCATTTTTCCTCGATTATCAGGATATGAAGAAGTTATGAACTTGCAATTTTATCTTACAAATCTCACCGGACTATTATTACCTAGAATCATCAGATCTACTAATTTATAATAATTGCTCGGATGACCTGTGAATGTCATCCCACATGTGTTTACTGTTTATAAAGACCACATATTACCTCCCTTATTATACCAAAAACAGGAGATCCTGCAATGGCTATTAGTCCCAAATGACAAATAGTGACCTGGTGATTTGAGGTTGTTTTTTGTTTTCTCTGCTCACGTTTTCTGCCTCTCTCCAACTCAAGGTTTAGAGAGGCTGCGTTTCTTTATAAAAACCGTGACTCACATCTCTACACACCACAGGGACCCATTCAAACAAATGGAAAGCTCCATTTCCATTATAAGAGTAAAATCTTAAAGCATGATGAGACGGATGAGATGGATGGCAGCATGCATTAAGGAACATCTTAATGTCTTTCAAGTGACTCAACAGTTATTATCTGGCAGCCTATTAGTAACATGAGATGTCTAGCTGAGTGTACCAGACACTTTCAAAATTTTAAATTCAGAGAGATTTTTCAGTAAATTGGATTAAAATGTGCATAGCATGAAACACAGATATGGGTCGGGAATGGAGGTTTCTTTTTCGCAGGAATGGTCTCTGATGCCTTGCAAATAGGGCGTTATGCAAAGCCAAATTGAGCTATGGACTTCAGTATCCACCATTGAAGTCAACCAATATTGTCCATTTCACCTAGTTCTTGATTTAAAGGAAAATTCAATGAAAGCTTCATATGTTTGAAGCATGTTTTCTGTTTGCTTGTCAGCCAGTTATGTAATAGCCAACCGCTGATTTCTAATACGTACCTTGCTGTAATCTTGTTTGCGCTACATTGCTTTGCTTCCCTCCCTGAGCCTGGTCCTGTCTCTTCCTGTTAAATGGGAGTTCTTTCTTCCCACTGTCACACGTCTTTGTCAGGGCTTCACAGCTGGTTAATTTCTTCTTGTTTTTATTATATTTTAAGGCTAAATAAACAACTGTTACATGGATAAAATTTTAGTGGTTGGCTACTGCATTTGTGCCTTCAAGTAAACAACATACACTTGCTTAACCAATCACATTGCACCTCCATTTTTAAAGTCAAGGGGAAAAGACCCTGTAAACAGAGTTCTAAGAACTACAATGATCCTCAGTTCCTGCAATTATGAAACAAGCAAGGGAGCACTACTTCGAGCAGTTACTATAAAAGTGAAACATTTGAAATTCAATGTACCCTTTGACGTAAGCCTTATTGCTAAAGCACATGCCACATAACTGTAATGCCCCTGGTCTACTTCCAAATAGGAAGATGAATGCCACCATAGCTTCTCTTGCCTCATGTTTCAAATCTGCCTTCTAACTGATGAGGGTCAGTTAAAGGGAAAAAAAGACAAATAGATAATGTTCAAAAAGATATGCATCAATGCAGAATGATTTCAACCTAGGTGAAAACAATCCTGTCACAATAACCATTTAGCATAAATGACCTTGCCATAAACAATTAGTTGCTTTTGGAGACAACGTGGCCATCCACCTGGGCTTAACATCACAAGCACATCTTTACTGTTTAGTCTTCTTTTATTAGTTCTTTCAGTCACATTATGTATTTTACAAGCTATAGAGTGCAGAATTTCAATTCGAAACAAAGCTGAACAGCTGTGTTATGCTTTCACGGTCTGCTCAGCAGCCACTCAGAAAAAAGACAACTGCAGATTACACACACTGAACAGATGCCATCCGAATAACCTTCCAGAAACAGACCCATGACATCACTGCTGAGACACACCCTCAGTGGCAACATAAATCTGTTTTCATGGTCGCTCTGTGGTGACAGAAAGCGAGTGCACATTACAGAAACCATTAAATTTAAGAGTGAAGAAGTGATTTAGGGGTTTTGTGTGTGTGTGTGTACGTGTAGGCATGCCTCTGTGTCTAACCCTGTCACAGAGAATGGCAGCACCTGTGGTATCGCTACACCACCTGACGCTCCTGCCTTCCAGGAACACCGAGAGGTTTAAGTTGTCAAAGAGAGACAAGTGCTTAGGTCATGACCTGCTTGAGATGAAGCCAGCACGTGTGTGTGTGTGCATCATGTACATGAGGACAGTAATATGTAGGCACCAAGTCCGAGCACGTGTTCATGGCAGTATTTTTGACCACATAAGACTACATTCCTCTGGTGGACATGCTGGCCATGACCTTTTTAACAGACATAGTGGAAAAATAACAATGAGTTTCTGCTTTTTATAATTTACAGATTTTTAGGATTACCTAAAACCAACTGCCATCAGATTAAATTCACAATGCACATGATACTAATACATGACCCATGGATACAGTGCAATAGCTGAGAACACCTCAGCCATAGTTTTTATTTTGCAAATATTACTTTTAGTCTAGTTCTATACATGTGTAATAACATCTTAATCTATTGATTTATTTTATTTTATTTGGCTGCACTTTATTTAAAAAAAAACTATCCCGTTTTATTGTGATGTTCTTGTTTGTCTTTGTGCACAGAATTTTATTCAGCCATGCATCTGTAAAGAAATCTGAATATGATCCTGACTCAACCTCATGGAAAACAGCTCTGACATTCAACAGTTTTGGTGCTGTTTCCATAATTTAATACTTGTCGTGCTTTAAATATTTGGTAAAATAATGTGATAAACACTAAAAATATATACAAAGCTATACATGGACATACATATACAGTGGGGCAAAAAAGTATTTAGTCAGCCACCGATTGTGCAAGTTCCCCCACTTAAAATGATGACAGAGGTCAGTAATTTGCACCAGAGGTACACTTCAACTGTGAGAGACAGAATGTGAAAAAAAAAATCCATGAATCCACATGGTAGGATTTGTAAAGAATTTATTCGTAAATCAGGGTGGAAAATAAGTATTTGGTCAATAACAAAAATACAACTCAATACTTTGTAACATAACCTTTGTTGGCAATAACAGAGGTCAAACGTTTACTATAGGTCTTTACCAGGTTTGCACACACAGTAGCTGGTATTTTGGCCCATTCCTCCATGCAGATCTTCTCGAGAGCAGTGATGTTTTGGGGCTGTCGCCGAGCAACACGGACTTTCAACTCCCGCCACAGATTTTCTATGGGGTTGAGGTCTGGAGACTGGCTAGGCCACTCCAGGACTTTCAAATGCTTCTTACGGAGCCACTCCTTTGTTGCCCGGGCGGTGTGTTTTGGATCATTGTCATGTTGGAAGACCCAGCCTCGTTTCATCTTCAAAGTTCTCACTGATGGAAGGAGGTTTTGGCTCAAAATCTCACGATACATGGCCCCATTCATTCTGTCCTTAACACGGATCAGTCGTCCTGTCCCCTTGGCAGAAAAACAGCCCCATAGCATGATGTTTCCACCCCCATGCTTCACAGTAGGTATGGTGTTCTTGGGATGCAACTCAGTATTCTTCTTCCTCCAAACACGACGAGTTGAGTTTATACCAAAAAGTTCTACTTTGGTTTCATCTGACCACATGACATTCTCCCAATCCTCTGCTGTATCATCCATGTGCTCTCTGGCAAACTTCAGACGGGCCTGGACATGCACTGGCTTCAGCAGCGGAACACGTCTGGCACTGCGGGATTTGATTCCCTGCCGTTGTAGTGTGTTACTGATGGTGACCTTTGTTACTTTGGTCCCAGCTCTCTGCAGGTCATTCACCAGGTCCCCCCGTGTGGTTCTGGGATCTTTGCTCACCGTTCTCATGATCATTTTGACCCCACGGGATGAGATCTTGCGTGGAGCCCCAGATCGAGGGAGATTATCAGTGGTCTTGTATGTCTTCCATTTTCTGATGATTGCTCCCACAGTTGATTTTTTCACACCAAGCTGCTTGCCTATTGTAGATTCACTCTTCCCAGTCTGGTGCAGGTCTACAATACTTTTCCTGGTGTCCTTCGAAAGCTCTTTGGTCTTGGCCATGGCGGAGTTTGGAGTCTGACTGTTTGAGGCTGTGGACAGGTGTCTTTTATACAGATGATGAGTTCAAACAGGTGCCATTCATACAGGTAACGAGTGGGGGACAGAAAAGCTTCTTACAGAAGACGTTACAGGTCTGTGAGAGCCAGAGATTTTCCTTGTTTGAGGTGACCAAATACTTATTTTCCACCCTAATTTACGAATAAATTCTTTACAAATCCTACCATGTGAATTCATGGATTTTTTTTTCACATTCTGTCTCTCACAGTTGAAGTGTACCTCTGGTGCAAATTACTGACCTCTGTCATCATTTTAAGTGGGGGAACTTGCACAATCGGTGGCTGACTAAATACTTTTTTGCCCCACTGTACAAAGCTGTTGTTTCAAATATCTGTCACTTAAAGGTCAAACTCTGAGCATGTCACATGCTCACACTCTGTGTGGTGCCAGACATTAGATGAGGGCAGTATAGAAAAAACAGCATTAAGAAAATTATGAAAGAAATCAGTCAGTTACAATACTGTATAAGATTGAAAAAAAGCACTAGAATAATTGAATCAAAAATAACATAATAAAAACTCTAAAAACAAATACGATGCAGTAAGTTTTATAATTTAAGCATTTCATTTCCAGTTTGGTCGTCAGTGGTTTCTATAGTCTAGTATTGCTTGCAGCATAATTTCTCCAGGTTTCTATTCTTACAAAGTTCTATTCATTGTTTTCGTATTTTAATTTTTTTTTTATAATATTAACATAAATTTTCCTACTCTCCGAAGCACCTTGGGCTGGAATACAGACTGCATAAAAAACATTGACAGAGCCACCATGACAGCGCCCACTAGTCTGTGAAGCGCTTGTTTGAAGCCTCAAGCTGAGCATAGTGTCATCAGCATGTTCCAAAGCCAGGAAAGATGAGTGAGACGTATATTTGACTAAGAAATAGAAGATGCTCCACACTCCCAAGGTATCAACCATAATTCAATTAAATTCAATTCATTTTTATTTTATTTATATAACGCCAAATCACAACAACAGTTGCCTCAAGACGCTTTATATATTGTAAGTTAGATCCTACAATAATACATACAGAGAACAACCCAACAATCATATGACCCCCTATGAGCAAGCACTTTGGGGACAGTGGGAAGGAAAAACTTCCTTTTAACAGGAAGAAACCTCCGGCAGGACCAGGCTCAGGGAGGGGTTGAGGGTTGAGAGAAGGAAGATGGGATAGAAGACATGCTGCGGAAGACAGACGGAGATTAATAACAAGTACGATTCAGTGCAGAGAGGTCTATTAACACATAGTAAGTGAGAAAAGTGACTGAAGAAGAAATACTCAATGCATTGTGGGAATTATTTACCAGAATTACAGAGCATTTGGAGACGGATGTTAATCTTGCTGTAGATTTTTATACAGTTAGACAACTCTTTGTAACCTACAGCTGGTCATTAGAAAGAATACAAGTTAAAGCCAATTCCACAATGTCTTTGTTTCAGAGGAGCCATAATATACTAAGAATGAGAACTAATTGTAAAATTGTTTCTAGTTAAACCCAGTGGCCTTGTGCTTTCATTTCTGAAAGCTGCACTAACCTTTCCATTAGAACAAAAATATATCTAAAATGTTGATAGGCCTAGCAGCACTCAACACAGCAGAGCAAAAGAAAGCTCAACAACATGGCCAGTTAAATGGGATATTGATGTTTCAGGATTGCCATAAAACAGGCACAAAGACAGGATAAACTATACGCAACACCAAGACCAAACCAATTTGCTATAATATGCAGCCAAAAAGTGTGACTGAAAAATAAAATTCAAACTGTTTCCTAACAATTTCAATTGTTATCCATTCTGCATTCCCCAGTTGCCACTAAAGCTTCAGGTTCCGCATCATAAATCAGGTCCATCAGGGCAAAGTCAGTCAGTGTTCTGTCAGTCATACTCCTGAGATATGTAGCTAAGCATCATAAAGTGCTGACAGAGTCCTAAGCACTAGCAGTAGATGGTATTAATGGCAGCCATCATGGTTTATGCTCCACATCATGATTCTTGCAGTACAGCGTTTGCAGATTTTCAGCAGGATCTTCACTGCTTAGAATGATTCGCTCTCTGTTTTTGAAAACCTAAAAAAATAAAAACTGCTTTAATGTGCTCATTTCAAAATCCAACATGACCAAAGTGGCACCAGAAGCCATGACTTAGAGACTTGACAGTGCCCCTCCCTTCCATGCAGCACGGACACCTCCCACAACCACCCTAAAACATGCAGATGAGGATGATGTAAGCTCAGTGACTGAGATTTGACCCATCAGACAGAGCAGCAGTCAAAAACAGAGCCACGAGGCTTCGTTCGCCCCAGACACAGAGAAGGGGGGGTCTGTGCTGTTTTTTATTTTTAAAACAATCGATCAGAAAACTACATTAATGACAATTTGAAAACAGCAACAGGAGCTTTATGTACGAGAAAATTATTTCATTGTCTCTGATACTGGTAACTGTAGTCTTCTTGTTGGGCTTTACTGAGAAATTAAAGCACTGCTGAGGCTTTCTGTAAGGCATCAGTTATAGCATTAGATCTAGTCTTTAGATAAAGAGCTAAATTATCCAATGGGTGAAGGTGTTGTGAAGCATAAGGTGACATGGTAGGGGACAACTGCTCCGACAGTCTGACCATTGACTTTTATCCAACACCGCCGTCAGAAATCAGGTGAGCTCTGTTTCATCATCACTGCTCAGGTACTCTCTTTTGTAGTTGTTCTGTTTGTTCTTTGTGGCCAAAATCCGCCCTGTTTGGCCTGGAGCTTTTAATCATGAAGCCATGTTGACTTACAGTCCTTTGTGTTTTGTCTGGAATAATACCTCAGTCTTCAGGTTGGAAACCTCTGATTTAGGCCGTGGTTTACATTTCAGTCATAAAACGGGATTCTTTGCTTCCAGTGTTGACATTTCCCACCACTGATCGTCTTATCGTCAGAGTAGACTTCAGTGGAGGTAAAGTGTCGCTAAGCTGCCACTAAGAGCCCCACAGTGCTCTGCTAAAAAGCTGGTCTGAAACTGTTCACCTCAACCAACAGTACAACACACACCTACAAGATAAGTAAATATTGAGACTCAGGCACCCATGGTTTATCAGCCATTGCCCGATTTTTTAACAGACTGTGTGCACTGGCGTGAATGTGAATGTAATGAAGCATGCTTTAGTCAATATTAAGCGCTGTCATGTTGACCACTTCTGTTTAAGTAGACAGGTGCAAACAGCAGATTTGCTTCTCTGCTTGTTCTCGTCTCTGAAACAATTTTTGTATAGAAATTGAAAAACACAAGATGAACATGAACCTCTTTAGCTTTTTTCTGCTTCTGCCCTAAGAGCTCACAGAAAACTTAAAAAATGTTATAGTGCTCTATCAGGTTGTTTTTGAATCTTTGTGTGGACTGCATCCTGTTTTTCTGTAGCTAAGGCTTACCATCTGACATGTATTATGATTTAGGACCCAAATGCAGGCTGGGCTAACAAAAGGTGAGCCTTTTATTCACACTGAATCCAGAGTCCAAACCAAGACCAAAGGCTAAGTCCAAAATGCCAACAAACCGAAATCCAAAAATATCAGGGAACCATAAGGAACACATGCTCTGACAAAGAACGAAGACAAGGGCAGGCCAGAGTGACTAAGCACAGACTTATTGGCATAACCAATAAATCAAAATACAAGGAACCCAATAAAATAACCATAGGTACTAACAGAAACTAGAATATTAAAATATCAACAAACTCATGATAGTACAATAATTATTGAAATACAAAGAAATCAAGGGAAACCATATTTAAATCAGAACACTATAAAAGGCAACATAACTGAGGCTGGTGAACAAAGAAACAACCCCAAACCATGAGGTGAATCCTCTGTGGTTTTGGTCATGAAGTCTTCAGATGTTTGTGAACATCCTGGAGGGCTCATGTCCTTGACTTGCTGTGCATTCTTACAGAGCTTTTCAGTCAACCTATTAATGGTTTGCAAATGTTTGTCTGTATTTCTGCTCTCTATCTCATCTCCTGGGCACACCTCTTACTTGGATCACATCTTCTAAACTATAAAATGGTGCTATAACTTATAAAACGACACTAGCATTTACATAATATAATGTTTCTTTCTGGTTCAGGTGAGAATGGTGTCTGACCTTGGTGACGTCGGCTTTTACGGACAGTGTGGTGTCTATTTGTGCAGGAGGTCTTAAACTGCACAGGAATGGGTGCAATGTGGAGTGGGCAGTGTGTCCACATACCACTTCATGTGTGACCGTGGAGTTTTTCCATTAATTTACAGACATAAGTGTCCAAATAGCTGACAAATATAACACTCGAAGACACACAGGGCACCCTGCGTAGGCATGCAGTCAGTCAACACGTTCATTACTCATAAATCAGACCCACATATGTTCTCAGTTAAGACACAAGTGCCATTCACACTTATTTTAGCTTACAGCGTAAAAAGAAACTGCAGGCGAACTGATGAATTTAATGCAATCTTGCATGTCCTTGTCAGGTATTAGCAATAAAAAAAATATTGTTTTAACACTAGCACAACTGATGTTAAAAGATCTGTAAAAATATTTAAAAAATGTGACCCTGGACACACCTACTGTGTGAATAATAAGTCTTACAGTAATAAGTCTACACAGACTTTAGGTTTCATGGGGCACAAATCCCAGTCTCCTGCATGAAAATCCTGCATTAAACATCCTCCCTGCATGGATGTTGTTGCCATGAAGGCAAACCTTTACCTTTTACTGTCCTAGAACACCACACGCTACACACATATACCTTTCACAGCAAGCTTGAAACTCTTATTAATGACTGATGAATAAACTTGGGTGTGTCAGCAATTAATGTAACTGGGTCTGTAGCTGTTTACCATGATGTGAACACACAGAGAAGTAAAGTGTGAAACAGACAAGCATGCAGAAGAACCAGCAGAGGGAGATATTTTATTTCAAGCCAACATGAAAATAATCATGGGAAAGTGTTTCAACACACATTATTACAGTATTTTCATGTATACATAGGAGCCTCCTAGTTTAATTGTTTCTGGCGATTAAGGACCCTGGAATGCACTTCATATGTTTTTCACAGCTGGTAAGAATCTAAGTATTGTTTCTTTGTTTTTTAAATGTGTGCATTCAACACCAACAGATCAATCTAGAAATACCTTCTGCAGCTGACCAGAAAACTGTCAAGACAACAGAAATTATATCTTGCAGGGTGTGTTGGTTCTTAAATGCTACTTTTTGTATGTTTCACAGCTGGGTCAGCACCTCTGGCAGCAGCAGTGGACTACAATTTGAGCGTTCCTCAGAAAGAATGTTTCTGTGGGCAGGAAGTAAAGCAACAGATGGAAGATCTGATCGCAGGTATATATATTATATATATATATATATTATATTATATATATTATATATTATATATATTATTATATTATATATTATATATATATATTATACTATATATATATATATTTTTTTTTTTTTTTTAAATTAATTAATTAATTAATTTTTAAATTCAGTCTTGCTTATTATTATAATTATAATTAGGAGGAGATGCTTCATCAATATTCACCTTTTTTAGATCCATCTACCAGAAGATTCGTGAATATGAGGTCCTGGACAGGAGGAAGACAGTGACAGCTCTGAGGGCAGGAGAGGACAGAGCCATCCTGCTGGGCCTCAGCATGGTCTTCTTCTCCATCATGATGTACTTTGTTGTGGGAATCACCATCCTGCGCTCTTATTCTGACAGGTAATAGGCTGAATTAATTTCAGTAATATTTAAGAAAGCTCTTGCGAATAATCTTATCAGAGGAGTTTCCTTGGAAACTTTCTGCTGCATATCCTCATAACATCAAGTGGAGTCTTTGTCTTTTTCTCCAGCGTGTGGACCGATGAGACAAGCTGCACTATTGTCAACTCCACTATAGTTTGGGATGTGAACTGTTCATACAGCTGTGGAACAGAGTGCTGGAAAAGGTCTCGCTACCCTTGTCTCCAGGTGTATGTCAGCCTTAACTCATCTGGAAAAGTGGTACGACTGTTCCATAACGAGGAGACGCAGGACAACAACCCTGAGGTACTCAGTAATTGCTGGCATCTTTGGTGTGCACTTTTCCATCCAAACAGCACACAGCAAAAATGAGAGAACAGCAGTACACTTTACACTAATAGCATAATCTAAAAGAGTTACCAAACACAGCTGTTACTTTCACTCTTCTTCTATCCTGTTCAGTGCTTCTACATCCCAAAGTGCCGTAAGGACTACGCAGCCATGCAGGTCTTGGTTCAGAACATTTCCGAGCGTCTTCGGTCTCAGCACACACTTCAGTGTTTCGTGGACCGCACAGACAAAACAGACAGCGCCATCCTGACACAAATCTACAGTCAGATCGCTGTCTTCCACTCCCTCTTCTGGCCCACCTGCACTTTGATTGGAGGAAGCGTCATCATTGCCATGGTGAAGTTGACTCAGTACCTGTCTGTCGTGTGCGATAGACTGAGCCGCATCAAGAGGTGAAGGGTTTCGAGGCTACAAAGACAAAGGGCAATAAGCAGAGTCATGGTGTCAAGACTGAAACACAAAAAGGCTGAGATGTGGTTTGTCTGTGGCAGCTGACACGCTATGACTCGAACATTTTCTGACAATCACAAAGAAGCGTTTCTCTTTGTTACTATGCTTGACTCCAGTGGAGCCTGTGGGTAAATCACAGGATTTTTACTTATGTCACTTGTTACATACATATTTAAGTGCCTTTTCTGCTTTATATGTCTATTTGTTAAATAATTTAGCAAATACTCTTATTAGCTTTTTTGCTAAGAGCTGGATGAGAAGGTCGCTGTAGTGCCAAAGCAACTGAAACAGCTACCCAAGTTTCAGAAAAGTGTAGATCAACCCTCCTGCCAGTTGCTTTTTAGGGCCCAAGCACTGAGAGTGCGAAGGTCCTATTGTATCTGCTCCTTTTCTTCTTCTTATTATTATTCAGGCAAAACAAGTGCCTTTTTGAGGGCCTAAATATGCTCAAATTGTCTGATGAGTGCTAAAGACTAAATCGAGTGCACCTGTGTGTAATCTCAGAGGTTGTCTAAGAGAATATTGGGAGCAACAACACCATGAAGTCCAAAGAACACACCAGACAGGTCAGAGATAAAGTTACTGAGAAATTTAAAGCAGGTTTAGGCTACAAAAAGATTTCCCAAGCCTTGAACATCCCACGGAGCACTGTTCAAGCGATCAGTCAGAAATGGAAGGAGTATTGCACAACTGTAAACCTACCAAGGCAAGGCCGTCCACTAGTGATGGCCAAATGAAGCTTTCTGAAGCATTGAAGCTTGTATTGAAAAACGGTTCATTACTTGAAGCTTTTCAACACAGTCCTCTCTGGTGACATCTTGTGGCCAAAAATATGAAGAGCAGCTTGACTCCACAAAATAAAACCAACTGCTTCATTAAGATTGTTCACCCTACAGACTGGAAATCTGTCTGATATTGGGCTGCTGTTGTGTTGCTTTGAACGTGTATTTTTTGGTGTTAAAAAAATGTGGTTTATTTGTTTAATAAATAATTCTGACCAGTAAAATTTCCTTGTTTAAACATGCACCATGGCGTGGTCTTTCTTTGCTTGTGACTTCTTGATGTTGATAAATACAATAATTGAAAAATACCACATTACATATAATATACATATGATAATGTACAACACTTTATGGAATATGCTTCTGCTGTGAGGTCCTGCCTCCATGCACTTATGCAATTAATTGCTAGACAGGTATATTTATAAATAATATTATATTAGGGAAATTTTCCTATACATATTTTTGACCTGGGGGTAGAATTGATTGTGAAATGGAAAGGGAAAATGCTTATGAACTTGCAAATTAAAAACATGATGCATTTAAGGTAACACTTTAAAATTTTTATTTAAGAAGAGAATTTGTTCCAATGTGCGAAGAGGCTGGAGTTCAGAAAAACTGGTAGAGATGCAGTTATACAGTCTACCTGGGCCCCACAAACTATCAGCTAAAGAGAATAAATAAATGAAATTGCTGCACATTTTGTAGAATAACATTTTAAGATTGTTTTAAAAAAATAAAATATATCTTTTTTATAACATTACATGTTACGAGTCAAATGGAAGTCTTTCTAAAGTTATTAAATGATATTTATATTATGAAAAGCAAATTTTTGACATTTTGAGTTTTTCCTGTTTCCAGATAAAATAAGCACGCACAAAACACAAGCAAACAGCCAGAACACAAAGCTGGAAAACCCACCCCATCTACCAAAATCAACTCAAAATACTCCCACACAACAGAACCTCCTCTATTCCTCGCTGGCTCCAAATCTCTCAGTGGAATGATCAATGGTTCGCTATCTGTCACCATCAAAACGCTCCACAAATCCCGCAAATGAGTCACCTGCTTAGAAACCATTGAATCAGACACCGAAGCAGTTAGGTTCTAAATGAAGCTTCGGACGTCACTGATCACGTGACTCTGGCCAAACGAATCAAGCTTCGACACAGTGCTTCTGAAGCACTGTGTTGATTTTTTTGACAAACGCACTGGAGCGTCAGCTTCAAGCGAGCCATCACTACCTCCACCTAAACTCACAGGCCGAACAAGGAGAGCGCTGATCAGAAATGCAGCCAAGAGGCCCATGGTGACTCTGGACGAGCAGCAGAGATCTACAGCTCAGGTGGGGAATCTGTCCATAGTTGTGCACTGCACAAAGTTGGCCTTTATGGAAGAGTGGCAAGAAGAAAGCCATTGTTAACAGAAAACCATAAGAAGTCCCGTTTGCAGTTTGCCACAAGCCATGTGGGGGACACAGCAAACATGTGGAAGAAGCTGCTCTGGTCAGATGAGACCAAAATGGAACTTTTTGGCCAAAATGCAAAACGCTATGTGTGGCAGAAAACTAACACTGCACATCACTCTGAACACACCATCCCCACTGTCAAATATGGTGGTGGCAGCATCATGTTCTGGGGGTGCTTCTCTTCAGCAAGGACAGGAAAGCTGGTCAGAGTTGATGGGAAGATGAATGGAGCCAAATACAAGGGATGTCAAATAGGAAGACAACTAAAAGAAAAATAGAAAAGAAACTAAGAGAAACAGAGAAAACACATACACGAAACAGGACGGGATGTCAAACCAAGCAGGGGGTGCCATGAAAACAAAGAGAAATATAAAGAACGAAAAACAAAAAAGAGAAACAGAAAAACAAGTGAGAGAAACAGAGGAAACAAAGTACGGAAAAAGCAAGTAAGGAACTAAGAAAGAATTTTTAAACCTAAAAGTAGGAGGAGTCAACAGAAAGTATAAAAGCCAAGAGAGGCAGAACAGAACACAAACAGACAAAAACACACTGGGCGAGCCTGAAGAAGGCGAAACTGCGCCGAAACATCGCGAAGAAATGCACTAAAGGGCAGGGACACCACCACCCAGCTCCATCGATGGCCCGTGCACGCCAGGTTACCAGCTCGCTGGCGGCCTGTTCACTTACTCACACCCAACCCCCTTTCCACTTGGCGCTCAATGAGAGCACATCTCTGCCTGTCCAACTATTGCCAGCTAACCTAGCAAATAGTTTTCTGTGTGCCACACCAGAAGAATGTGTATGGTTGAAATGTTGTGTTTTTTTGTGTTTGTTTTTAAATAAACAGGTTTTTTGGCACACCTTCCTTTGTTGTTGTTTTTTTTTACGTGACTTTTTCCTTTCCACATTTTGGAAAGCGTTTTTTGTTCACATTAAAAATATAAAGATTTTTTTTGAAAGCAAATTTTATTTTTTGAAAAAAAGAAGAAAGCAAAAAAAAGACTGGACGCCATGGAAGACGGCTGGACGGTGGTGCGTTATGGCCGTCGGCGCCAATGTTGCCGCCAAGTCTTCTGGGACGAGTACAGAGGACTGCAAGGAGGGATGAACCGCGCACGCTCCTTTTCCTCCCGGAGAAGGTATTATTTTCCTCATCCTAACCCTATGCTGGACTTAACCTTATCCCTGAAGCCCAACCCTGAGTTTAATCCTAAACCTAACCACCTTTAGCCCTATCCGGGATGACCCTAGACCCCCCCCCCTCTCCTCTCTCTCTCCCTCCTTCTCTTCTCCCTCTCTCTCTCTTTCTCCCCCCTCCTTCCCTCCCTCCCTTCTCCAGAAACCTCAGACTCAGGATGTGAAAAGAATCCCTTTTTCAGGGCAACAAGTGAGGGACACGGTTCCTTGAGCCGGGAGCAAGGATGGCCTGCGTATTGGTGCCCGGTTGCCAAAGCCCCCGTTTTGTTTGCCCCTAACCCTTTTGCTTCAGCCACTGCCCGCGCCACATTCTGCTTCGCCTGTTGATACCTACCGGCTGCCTCCAAAGTCCCACAGGCTAACCAAGCCTGGTAGGACTCCTTCTTCAGCTTGGTGGCTCCCTTCACCTCTGGTGGCCACCATTTGGTTCGGGGCCTCCCACCACAACAGCCACCAATTACCTTCCGGCCGCAGCTCAGTGCAGTGGCTTTGGTAATGGAGATACTGAACACGGTCCATTCAGACTCAATGTCCCCAGTCTCCCTCGGAACGCTGTTGAAGCTCTGCCAGAGGTGGAAGTTCAAGATCTTGCGAACCGGGGCGCGTTCCCAGCACACCCCCACTGTGACCCTCCCCACTCACAGATCACACAAGCAAAAAGAGCAAAAACTAAATACTTTCCAAGGTGCTATGCAACCATTTATTGGTGATCATCCAGTTAATCAATCCCGGAACAGGAATTAATTCAATCCAACCACTCACTAGGCACTGGTCTCCATTAAGACACAATCATATCCACACCTGAGAGAGAAGAGAAGAGAGAAAAACCCACAACCATCCTCTGGTGGGAGGAGTCACACACAAACACACACGACCCACAAGATCTTGGGTCATAACAATAACTAGGTATCATATGCATAACAATGGATCATTAGTTAAATCAGAAACAATCTGCAGAATAAAATGTAAAATATCTTGTTTTCAAAGAAAATGAATGAAGCAAAACAGCACATTTATTTGAATTGTTATTAATCACAGTTACACTAAATACAGATTTTAAATTAATTTTTAATCCATGATTCATGTTTTATGTTAATTAGGCTTCAATCAGTTTATTGGTGCACACACACGCCCTGATGCAAAAGTGAATCATGAAGTCAAAACTCTGATCATCAAATTATCAATAACAAATGAGGCATTTATTATAAAAACACTAAATCCACAAATAATACAAAGATAAGGTACATTCTTCCCTGCGACAGACTAGTGACACGTCCAGACTGTACCATGCCTCTTGCCATATGTCAGCTGGGATAGGCTCCAATTACCCTGTCACACATAAGTGGAAGAGAATGGATGGATGGATAATTCAGTAGTGATGTGCGATACCACTGATTTCCTTTCCGATCCGATACCAAGTAATATTCAGGGTGGTATCGACGATACTGATCCGATACCGATACTTTGTACAAAAACTTATTTTATTTATTGTATCTCAAATTATAGCGTCATAATGATTACAGGACATCAGATTACTTGCTCTTATCACTTAATAATGCAGAGTTCATCATATAGAAACAAAAAATCTGAAGTTGTGCGCTATTTGAACACCTTGCCTGCCTGCAGCACTAAATAACACCGTGAGAGATGTCTGTCTCGCCCTAGCAACACCTGTCCCTCTCCTCCTCTTCAGTTTGTCTAAACATACGCGCCTCATATTCTGTGATATGATTTACTCTGAGGTGTTTGACAAGGTTAGTGATGTTGCCACAACCATATGCCAACCCTGCTGATTTTTCTGGGAGTGCCCCTCCCGAAAATCTCCCGGAGCCACCATTCTCCCGAATTTCTCCCGATTTTCCATCCGGACAACAAAATTGAAAAACCATATCGCAGAATTCATAGCGGGCCCAGCCAATTCCAGTTTCCAACAACGCTACTTAGTTTTAATATTACTCTCATTTGTCTTTCTGGGTCGCAAAAAAACGTTTAACATATTTTCAGGTGAGAATGTAGCTGTGTAAACTTCAAACATCTGAGCCGACCGACACATCGTTTTCAAACCCCCTCTACTCGGGTTAAACATGATATATAAGTCACTTTGATAACTTCAAAATGTTATTGTTTGGCTTTTTCAGTGTTTTATTTGTTCTTGAGTAAATCGGTTTGGCTGAGATTAAAGTTATTAGATTAGATTAAATTTAACTTTATTAATCCCTCGGGAGGGTTACTCCGGGGTTTTCACACAGCTGAATAAACGTCAAACAGAAAACTGATTAAACAAAGTGTGAGACGGTGGAGAGTTTACGCCAGCGCCCAGTTATATTTTAGATAGCAACGAGCAGACGGCAGAGTTTCACTCCACCGAGGGAGCTCGCGATGTACTACCCGGCTATCTTTAGACCACAAAGGCCGGGTCCTCAGGTGGAAGCAGCCTCTGAATTTGGACACCCCGGGCAGTTTCCGGGCAGGCCAATAATAACGGTGATATTTAACGTATTTTATCCGATAAATAAACACTGTAAAATGTATTTATCACGCCCCTCCCCAAACAGCCCTTCTGAATGTCTCCCTAATTCTGAGGTCTCAAGGTTGGCAAGTATGGCCACAACACCTCACTTTTTTGCCACATGTATCGCAAACCACGTCTCAGCTGTTTGTGGAGGTAAAATACGTCCACACAGTTACGCTCAGCCATTGTTGTGAGTGCGCGCGCCAAGGGCTGCCAGACATTTATACAGCCGTATTTCGCACATGACTATGAAAGGCGGAAGAGGAAGTAGTTCCTTTGAATGTAGACAATCCAATGTTATAGTTTCTTTCCACTGTGTTCTTGTTAATGATAAACTACAAATTTACCCTAAATTACTAAAATATCGATATTTTAATGTGAGAATCGATTCTAGAACATAAATGACTGGTATCGGAGGAATCGATATTTCAGGATCAATCCGCACATCACTATAATTCAGGTTGTGCTTGATAGAAGTATGATTTGAATGTTGTGGTGTGCCACAAAGTCTCTTAATGCAGGAAACGTAAAGCAGACTTGAAGAACACAAAAAACAGCTTTAAGGAGTTGAGTGCAGAAGTGCAAGAAACTCAAAATCCAAAACAGGGAATGAATGGATGAATCCAGAAGTCATAAATACACAAACAGGCAAAGAACACAGACTGACAAAGGGAGAGTGCTAGTCTTTATACACATAAGGCTAATGAGGGTTGAGTGGTGACACTTGGAGAAATTATACAACTGAACTAAATCTGGTATTGTCACATGGAGGATATAAAACTAAAAGCAAGTCACAAGGTGACCCCAAAATAAAGCCAAGAATCGAATATGAGTATCAACTCTAAACACCACACTGAAACCGGTATAGAAAGTAACTAAAGAATTAAGAAATTAAGCATTAAGACTAAGAATTCTAAAGTTTTGATACAAATTGAAGATGCAAAATATAAAAGAATTCAAACACCCTGGGAATAGTAAAGTGTAGAGGCCTGCACTACAACAAAGGATAATGGCAAATTCAGGTAACGTCAAGTTTATTCCCTTGTTTTCTGTACTGCAAAGTTGGTTCGCTTCTTACGAGGGTATATTGCCATGGTAACTTATGCTGTGATTCAATTTTAAGTTCATATGAGACAAAAGCAACAAAACTCTAGGAAAGGGAAGGAAGGGGTGTATAAAAACCCTGTGATTTGTGTATATAGACTGTTCCACGCACCCCCTCTAACTACTGCTAAGATGGTACATTCTTCCCATCCTGAGTTTTCCGCTGGTTCACCGTGATAGCGCTGGTCGAGCTGGGCTGTTGTACTGAACATGTGTCCTGGGTGTGAATGATAAGTAAGCGCGTTGCACTTGTTTTTTCTATGATTGTAACTCATCCTATACTCACCCCTGTATGTTGTGGGATGCTTGCCAGTGGTTTATGTCGCTACGAGACACCGTAGTTACTCATGTTGATATGACCAAAATGGCGCCACCCTTGTGAACTGAGCTGCCCAAAGTAAAGATGGAGTCTATCCCTGTGCAATGGGCTCATTTGTGTCCACCAGGGGGTGGTGTTTAGTCATTTTCGAATTAGATTTTTCTGTTCAACCCTTTCTGTATTATTTAGACCAGTTTGGTTGACTTTAATTGTTTGCTAATTGTAATTTCTGTTATTTTACAGAACCACACACATACATATACTCACACGGATTCACTTCTGAAGATGTTTTGGATTAAAGGAACCCAAGTTATCATTGCTGTGGACCCTCTCTTTCATCATATAAGTCACCTGTGCCTTCTGACCGAGGATAGGAATATCCTGCTGTAATTTGCCAGTTTATTAAGCACACACATGTCCAGTTCAAGGGGTATAGTTGCTGTCTCTGATTATCCTTTGGTGTCCCAGCATTAGTGCTTCCTAACCCAGGTATGTGTTTTAACTTTTAGGGTTTTTAATAAAAAATTTTTTAAAAAAATGGACCTAAAAGGTTGATTCTGTTCATCTGGACATTTTCAGTGGGAGAAACAATTCGTCACTGATCTAGGTGACTTCTTCAGTCTCAGCTGACTGCAGCTTTCCCCAACCTTTTAATGCATTTGCATTATGACTGAAACTATCACCACTGAAGGAACAATGGGCTAAACAATGTATGTACAATGTTCAGTATCAGCTATGTTGCCTGTCTGCTTCTACGTTCTTCATTAGCCTTCTGTGTTTTTATGTCAGAGCCTCTCTTAGTTCAGTGTTGCGTCGTCCCTCATTTTACACTGTGTGTTCGGTTTGCTAGCTCGCCCACCTGTTTAGTTTGTTTTGTATTCTCAGTTTAGTTAGTTTTCTGTTCGGTTGCTATCCAACAATAAAGCTGTGTGTTTTGACTTTACGTCTGCCTCCGTGAGTCCTGCTTTTGGGTCTGCAATTTTCTGCCTGCCTTCCCACAGCCATGATAGTTTTCACTGATTCTTCTATTTACAGCATATATTAAGGGGAATATATTCTATATGTGCAACTTCTTCTTTAGCCACAATTTACTAACATCCCTGAAGGAAGCACAAACTTGTTGTCACATTGTCATGTAAATTTCCATGTATTCATTTGGTAATTTAGGAAATGTATAAATATTTGAATACTTCATTCTAATCTGCTGCTCAGTTTTTTATGCTGCTGGAATTGCAACTGCTATAACACACAACACACACCAAGAACACCTATCCTGGGGTAGGCAACTCCAGGCCTCGAGTGCCAGTGTCCTGCAGGTTTTAGATCGCACCCTGGGTTAACACACCTGAATCCGATGATTAGTTCATTACCAGGTCTCTGGAGAACTTCAAGAAATGCTGAGGAGTCATTTAGCCCTTTAAATCAGCTGTGATGGATCATGGACACATCTAAAACCTCCAGGACACCAGCACTTGAGGCCTGGAGTTGCCTACCCCTGATTCCCAATCAAATTAGTTTCACTTTAATTTGCTATTTCCAGATCTCCTTCATAAAGCTTTGATATTTAAATGTATTAGGACCCTAATGTACAGTGTTGAATATCCCAATTCTTTGATCTTTGGGCTGAAAGAAGAACAACACTCGGTGTATAAATGTTCAATCAACAATCTCTTTATTCCATACAACACTTTGAGCATAAACATACGGACAGGAGATGTGGACAGCAGGGTGTCCGCCAGATCTCAAAATGTCTGACCCTTTCTCACATTCTTATAGGTTTAACCCCCACTCCAAAGTCATAAAACCTAAACATCCACATTCTTTCTCTCTCAGCGAGCCTAAGTTATTACCTTGGCTTCCTGTGCAGTATGTTCTGTTATTTCTAATCACACAAATAAGCCCATGATTCTCTGCAAACTGTATTCTCTTTATAAATCAGCAGTATAAAGGACCATCAAGAATGTAATTCATTCACAATAAATCAGCAGTCTAATGTAATACAAATCAGTCTAATAAATCTAATAGTTATCACCTTCTTCTAAGTTGTGAGTATAATGTAACCTAAAACTACATAATGATTTCACAATCTTTAATTAAAGGTATAACATGGCACAAGATAATATAGTGATCTCACAACCTTTAGAAATAAACAGCAGCATTGGAATGTGGGTGACTGTGGTTCAGGGGGTTGGGAAGCTCCTGTTGTAACCAGAAGGTTGCTGGTTCAATCCCATGCTCTGTCTCTCTGTGTCCTTGGGCAAGACACTTCACCTACTTAGAGATAGCAGCCTTGCTTCTGTCAGTCTGCCCCAGGGCAGCTGTGGCTACAACTGTAGCTTGCCTCCACCAGTGTGAGAGTGAATGAATAGTGGAATTGTAAAGTGCTTTGAGGGTCTTGAAAAATGCTGTATAAAATGCAAAGTTGTTATGTATTTTACTGCTCTTTGCACGGTTATGCCCCTCAGCAGCCCCTAGTCCCACATGTGGGAAATTTGTTTTGTTACAGCAGAAAGTGGACAGTGCAATGTTGCAGAGCAAAAATTAAGAACAAAAAAACACTGGAATAGAATAGGAATAAGATACTGTACACAATAGAATTGAATAAATAGGATACCATATACATATACCATATACAACAAAATAAAATACAATGTTGTCAGAAAAATAGAATTGCACTTTGTGCTATTACACATCTTTGGATGTGTGTGTTTGGTCAGCTGCAAAGTCTTTGTTGTGGAGTCTGACAGCAGTAGGAAGGAAAGACCTCCGAAATCTCTCCGTCCCACATCGTGGGTGCTGCAGCCGTCCACTGAAGGAGCTGCCAATTAACCTGACCTGGTGAGGTGTGGATAAAAACATACCTGATGCAGGCTTTTGCAAAGGCACACCAGTATTTGCATTAGCTAAATTAGCTGGTACCACAAACTTATTCATGTGATACATTAAAGGGGTGGACCCTGGGCTCACTTTGTGAGGTGATAACCAGCCTTGTGTGACCGTTTATCTTGATCTCCAATGTCAGGGTAAGTGAAACCTGTAACAGTGAGTTATCACTTTATAATATAGGGTCCTGGCATTAAGCAGAAATTAAACAAAAAATAGAAACAACAGTGAAAAAAATACAAAACAAAAAATAGAGGCAAGAAAACCTATCCATGAACCTAAAACCATAAGAGGACTCTAAACAACAAACTAAAGGATAACAATCAAACGTGAGGTGTGTAACAATAAACATTAATTCAAAGTCTAAAATACTAAGACTTCCCAACCATATCACTGAATACTTTTAAATTACATGATTGTCTCCAAATAAATGAAAAACTAAATATGTTTTTAGGGCCTAATTTTCTCAATGACAAACTGCTGTATGCTCACACTGTGTTTTTACAGTTATGGTATTATATTACATTTCTAAATGGCACTCACATGCTACAACAACAAAACTGAATCTTCATCAGAGATTGTAAACAAAGTCCAGAGTCTGAATCCTGGGTAAACAGGTTCAGAGAATCTGGTTCTGAAGGTGTACATGTGTTTCAGTTTGTTACATGAGACGACATAGTAAGACAGAGTTCCTGCATGCCAGTCCAGAAACACTCCTAGTTTGGGACAGCCATCAGGGAGTATGTATATTTGTAAGCCATTATGTACTACAAAGTACCAAAAGCCTAGAAGATACCTGCAACTACAACTCCAGGACTTTTCATTGTACCCAAGCTTGCACATGTCACTGTTTCCTTTCCTTTCAAGTTGGCTGTAGCAAACGCCTACAGAAACAACAGCAAGCCAGGAAGCACTCAAGTCTACCTCCCAGTAACAGCGCCCATTCAGCTCCTCTCTGCACAAAACCTGAGGTAACTTACTGAATCTCTCAGGAAGGTCAGGATATAACTGTGTCTTTCCTCTTTTCACCTTCTTGTTTCCTTCAGACAGAACGAGTTCACAGTGTGCTGTGTTTGGATCCAGGGTGAGGTTACGGGAATCTGATGGAGAGAACAAGACCTGATCACTTTCGTTATTGATGACGATGTCAGTGACTCTTCTTTAATCTCTGTCCTCAAACCTCAGTGATAGGTTTATCTAGGCACAAACTTATTTCTGGAACAACCAAGACAATCCACTACAATGGCAAAAGCAACACACACAACACCAGAGCTCCTTGTGTGATCTCGTGCACGAGGAAGACTACCGAGACCAAGCCTGTTCCAACCGCTTGAACCCCAGTCACTCATATGACATATGACGTCTTAAACAGGCATACATGTGGACAAAGAGTACCAGTCTGTGTGTACGTGTAGGTATGCGTGTGTGTGTCAAAGGGTGACCCTGTGAAGGCTCCTCAGACCTGTTGGCGCTGGGGAGTCCTGCAGTTCATCTAAACAAAAGGCTCTTATACTTAAACAGATACAGATGTGGTTACTATACCATATTATCAGAAAGAGATGGTACAACCTCTCTCATGACCTTAGGATATGTGTGGTATGCCAGAACACTCAGAAAAAGGAGTGAACGTACTCCTCTTTTTATGGTACACAGAGCCTTTGCAGACTACTAAGGATCAGACCTTCTATCACTATACAATCGATTATATACCTCTAAGCATATATGATTATGTTTGTTAGTACAAATGACAATTCAAAAATATAACTCTAACACTCAGCTTGTCTTTGTAATCTCTGATCCAATGAAGAAATACTTTCAGGAGAACTGAAGGGAAGATCACGATTCTCTCCTGCTAGTCATTAAGATCTTTGTACAAACTTTAATTATGATGATGGATTTAATTTTATATGCATGTTTCTCCCCCTTAAAAACTCTGCTTCACAGTTTACTGCCTTTGATTACAATTCATACTTTTCATCACTGCATCTTATGCGAAAATATGGGATGGTCCTCTTTAACTGTGGAGGTCTGGAAGGAGCAAAAATGACAAAAATATAATATATTTTTTTTATTAAATACAACCAGCATGTATTCAATCTGTCAGTCTTAAAAACTTTTCATGGCGGGTGCCATGCTGAGTGGAGAGGTTCTGTGTTTACATACATGGAGAACCAGCTGCATTTACTTTCTGATATAATTTTCCATTTTTAATTATGCTGCTATAGGTGTAGGCTGCTGGGGGATTCCCATGATGCATTGGGTGATTCTTCTTCACCCTCTATGTGTTAATAGAACTCTCTGCATTTAATTATTGGTTATCATTAATTTCTGGCTCTTTTCCACAGCGTGTCTTTTGGCCTGTCTTTCTCCCCTCACCTCACCCGGTTGCGGGAGATGGCCGCCCCTCCCCAAGCCTGGTTCTGCTGGAGGTTTTTTCCTCTTAACAGGCAGTTTTTCTTTCCCACTGTTGCACATGCTCAGTGGGGTCACCTGATTATAGGGGTTTGCAATGTTGTATTATTGTAGGGTCTTAGCCTACTTAAACTTAAATTGAATTAACCCCAAAGTGACAAAAGGGAAAGTCAGTTATTGATTTTTTACTACCATTGGTCTTTCCTTCACAGTTTCAGATAGATATCAACATTCCAAAATTGATCCTGTGACCAGTTAAAGTTGTAACCAATCACGCTATTGAGGAAAATTTTTTAAACCATTCTTTGGTAGAAGGGAGAAGAAAAAGTGTGAAAGTACTTACACCACATCAGATCACTTCTGTCCCTCACAGTTTCCACCTCATTGATATCAGGCCCCAAGAAATCATCAGTGACCAGGTCAGTTTTCCTGTAGTGGTAGATACTTGCTCCTTCGTATTTGTCATTTCCAATGACTGCTACAAGGTGATAAAATCTGCTGCTATCCTTCAGAAGTTTTGCTTTTTTAATCATTTTGGCTCTTACACCATCAGAGAAATACCATTGATCCTGGGCAGGTGGAGTGTTACCACTGCCCAGTTTCATTTTATCAAAGTAGTCAGACATGTTCTGCAGATATGGGTGAGTGGATTTCAGGGAGGTGAAAGCAAAGCAGAGAACTTCCTTTTCTGAATTAAACACCTCTCTTTCAAGCTTGGACTGATCTGAGATGATCTTTATTCCTTGCAGAATTTTTACAATGCAGCTGATGTTGTTGATTTCTTTCTCTTGATATTCAATCCACTTGATTAATCTCTCCTGCCTGAAAGGTGACTTGTCTCTGTCATCAAACACTTTCACTAATTTCTGCGTATCCTCTTTACCTTCCCTGATGGAGAGAAGTCTCTCAGCCATTGTCTGCTGGAGTGAAGATCTGTAATACTCGCAGAGCTTCTTGAATCTGATCAACTTTTCTTGTATCTGTGGAAAGCTTCTCACCACTATGTCCTCCAGCAGATCATTGCATCTTATTTCCACATTATGGAGATCCTGTAGGATATCTTCAGCCTTTCTAACAAGTCCAGGATTGATCTCTTCAATCCTCATCTTGGCTTTGAGATGCAAATCCTTCAGTGGCATCAGTGTGACCTTCAGTGGGACACCATTTTCTTTGTTTTCTCCCAGTAGTTTTGGAAGTTGGTTGACTGTCTTCACTGCATCTTCAAATGTTACAGGGTTGCTTTCAAGAATGAAGTCTCCATAGAATTGGCAGGTGAATTTATCAGTCACAGCTTTTTCTTTATTACTCAGCTTGATGTCAACTTTCCCATTAACATTAAATGAGGGGATCTTGTTTATCACAGTTTCCATACTAGCCTGGGTGTCCTGAATGCTGCTAGCATCCAACTTCTCACTGTCAAACACAACGAAAGCATTTGTTCCATAAAGGATTCCTGTGACTACATGTGTTGCCAAACTCCTCACATTATCTGTTAGTTTAATGTTCTTGATTTTCTGAGGATTCAGTGTCAGCTGTTTGAATTTGGTGGTAGCTTTGTAGTGAAGTGTGACTCGACTCTGATGTTGAAACTTCTTCTTATTAAGCAGGTACCTGGCTGATCCTCCAACTTTAACCATTCCAGACAGGACACTGAGCTTCATGGAAGAATCAACATCCAGCAGAGAGGACTTGGATTTAAAAGAATCAGATTTAATGACATTCAAGTAAGTACTAGGCTGGTCCTGCTCTTCTGTTCTTTCTTCTTGACTGCTGTCATCCCACAGCTTCACACCTTTAAAACATGAGATCCACAAAGTGGTTAAAAAGAAATACAAATTCCTTAAATATTTTTCCAATAAAATACAGGCAGATCTATCAAAACCATTAGGACAATGGCACAGTCTTGTACGATGTTACATCTCTCTTCGTTTGCATCCCAGTCACGGAAGCGTTGGAGGTAGTTTTTTTTTGTATTGTATTGTATTGTATCTTTATTTGTTTCAGACATATAAAACAAAAATCAATATATACACACTACATATATTTTCATTTACAGATACGAATATATATGTAGATATACACACACACACACACACACGTATGTGTTCAGATAAACAAAAAGTTCGTAAGAGTTTACAAGATGACCCCAACCTCAGCAACAGGACCACTCTCAGCATGGACCAAGTGTGTTTGCTTTTGGAACTGTGTCGTCATTCCACCTACTTTACATACAAGGGTCAGTTTTACAGGCAGAAACGTGGGTGTGCCATGGGCTCCCCAGTTTCACCCATCGTGGCCAATTTGTATGTGGAAGAAGTGGAAAAGAGTGAACACCACCAAGTCAATGATTCAGGTATTTAGATGATACCTGGGTGAAAATCAAATCTCAGGACGTACCAGAATTCACGGATCTCATTAATTCGGTGGACCAACACATCAAATTCACCAGGGAGCAGTGTTGGGCAAGTTACTTTGAAAAAGTAATTAATTATAGTTACTAGTTACTTCTTCAAAAAAGTGACTGAGTTAACAACTGAGTTACCAGATTCTAAAAGTAATTAATTACTTGAAAAGTAACTATTGCGTTACTTTTAATTTTCCCTCTTCTTTTCACCTTTAAAAACTATTTACTTTGCCTTTTTTGGTATCATTCTTTACAGCACAACCTCACGTGTCTGAATTTTCAGTTATGTTTTCATTTTGACATACTGTTGTCCCGATTCGTGATTGAGGTGAGAGACAAACGACCTCTGGTCCAAGTGCGTCAAAACAATGATTTTAATAAACACATGTGTGCAAAGATACACAGCTTTAGATTGCCAACACCGATCTCCCATCAAAACATACTTTCAGCATGGTTTTATTATGTCATGGTTAACGCCCCCTCTCGCGTTAGACAAAACATCACATATATAGGTTATAATTAATGACAGTTCAACAAGTTTCCATATTTAACAGCATTTTTCCCTATATGGTTGTCTGGCTCCTCCAGATGCTTCCTGTAGACCCCGGATCACTAGTTGCCAAGCAGAGACAAAGCAAGATGTCTTTCACTTTTACCCTAGAAATTATACTTCATGTTTATGTGTATGTAAGCATGTTAGGCCTTCATTCACAGCATTCAAGTCATTTCACCAATATATCAGTTCAGACATAACGCTGAACGAAGCTCTGTAAGCCGTGAGACCAGTTTTCCCATGATTCACTCGCGTACCAGTTTGAAGAGGAAGAAGAACTCCACGGGACTCCGATGTGAAAAGATGTAACAAAAAATTTATTCCACGGTTTTTGCATCTTACAGGAGTGGTCAGGTTTAACTTGTCCTCAACAAAATAACCTACTACGGTAGGAAAACCGTGTGGCTCTGTTCTACCCTGCTGCCCCGTATATCTTATGCCGCGTTAACTCTTTTTCTCTCTCTCTCCCCTCCCGCACCGCCTGCACTAATTTCTAATTTGCATACATCCGTGATGCCCGGATTTTACTATAAACACAAGTCCTTAAAGCACATGTATTCATGGTACTACGTAACCTAGTTCCACCATAAACATGCATCTATTTCCTAAAATTATTAATTACACAAACAAGCTTAACAACAGCGAAATATAAATACTAAAACATATGAACTATCTTAACTTGGCTCCCACATACCGGCCCCTAATTGTGACTCTATTACACAATTACCAAATTACACTTGTGGAGCCAAAGTACACAAACTTCAGTCTCTGCAGTTGATTACTTCAGTCCGATTCCTGCAGAAGGCAAATCTTCGTAATGGGCCTGTCCAGTACACTCTTCTTGGTTTTGATCCTAACCTGCCGCACCATTCCTGCCTTGTCTGAGATAGCATGGATTACTTTCCCTGTAATCCAAGAGTTGCGTGGGGCTGTATCGTCAACAATAAGCACAATGTCTCCAACCAAAAAGTTGCGAGATGGACGGGTCCACCTTTGCCTGTGGTAAATATTCCCTTGCCCATCGTTTCCAGAATATTTCCGACATGTATTGCACTTGCCTCCATCTTCTTTTTGCGTAGAGATCTTGCCTGTCGAACAGTCCGGGAGGAAGAGATGGTTTGTTCCTGAGCAGCAACAGGTGATTGGGAGTGAGTACTTCCAGATCATTTGGATCACTGGACGCTTTGGTTATTGGCCGACTGTTAATAATGGCCTCCGCCTCACACAGAAGTGTATGCAGGCTCTCTTCATCCAGTGTCTGCAGCCTCAAGGTAACGTTTAGGATTTTCTTCACTGACTTGATCAATCTCTCCCAGACCCCTCCATGATGGGGTCCTGAGGGAGGGTTGAACGTCCACTGAATGCCTTGTTGTTTTAGGTGGTCTTCAATTTTGGACACATTCCATTCAGCAATGGCTCTTTTAAGTTCACGCTCTGCACCAATGAAGTTAGTTCCATTGTCAGAACGAAGGGTCTTTATCTGGCCTCGTCTGGCTATGAATCGATGGAGAGCATGGATGAAGGAATCTGTGTCCAGCGAGGCTGCCATCTCCAAGTGTATTGCACGAGTGGTTAGGCAGGTGAAAATGACTCCATACCTCTTCACCGTACTTCGACCACGTTTGATCTCGAACGGACCAAAGTAGTCCACTCCGCAGTTAGTAAATGGAGGGTCATCTGGCAGAACTCTGTCTCGGGGTAGGTCGGGCATTTGCTGCTGTCCTGCAACTCCATGCTCACGCCGACAGGCAATACACCTAGCGAGTATTTTTCGTACTGCAGAGTTGGCACCAGGTACCCAAAACTTTGTTCTCAACTTGGAGATAACATGATTGCGACCACTATGAGCCAAGTTCTCATGTATTTCTCTGAGGATAAGCTTCGTGACGTGAAGATCCTTGCTCAGGATTGCTGGCCACTTAGCTTCCTCGGGTAGTGCTGCTCTGCTGAGTCGCCCTCCGACCCTAAGGATGCCTTGTTCAAGTACTGGACTCAGTTTGAAAAGACTACTAGTCCTCTTCACCCCTTGACCTTTAGAAAGTGCGCTGATCTCCTTAGGAAATGTCTTTCTCTGACAGTAGCGAATGATTGCTTCTTCAGCCTTCGCAAGGTTCTCTACCGTTAGCTTGTTGGTGTCCCCTTGAAACAGGCTGTCCTTGAAACCTTCCATATCCCTCTCGACTTCAGGTTGTGTTTTAACAGCACACAACTCCTTCCTTTTGCGACACAATTGCAGCAGAATGCTCTTGACTTTAAGCATCCATGCCACTGCCCTTTTAAGTTTAAACCAGGATGAGAAGTACTGCAGGAACTGCAGCACTACATCTTCACATTCCTTGATTGTACTAGCACACACCAGGTTACCCTTTACCTCTGAGTCATCTGTAGTCAGGCCTTCAACTGGGTGCACCTCTTCTGGCCACTCTTCCATGGGTTTGGTGAGAAAGTCCGGCCCCTGTAACCATGTGTGGGATTGCATGAAGCTCTCTGCTCGGAGCCCCCTTGATGCAAAGTCGGCAGGATTCAGTGAGGTGTTGATATACCTCCATTGCTCTGGACTGGAGCATTTCAAAATCACATCCACACGGTTAGCAACAAAGGTACGGAATCTACTTGTTTGATTGCTGATATACTTGAGTACCGTGGTACTATCTGACCAAAATACAGATGGTTGGAGCGTAAGCTGCAATTCAGATGTCAGAACCCTGTCTATGCGTGCTGCCATGGTTGCTGCGGTAAGTTCCATGCGGGGAACTGTAA